TTATATATATATATATATATATATATATATATATATATACCGAACATTCTATACATATATACCTAACACTCCTATATATATACCTAACATTTCTATATGTACCTAATATTACTATGCCATACATTTCCGTGTATGTCGAGACACTATGCACTATACTGGCTCACATTATACAAACATTCACTGAAAACAATGGCGACGAATGATGGTATTGTGGTTTATAAGAATGAGTGTCCATGATAGTATTATATATTTTTATTGACGTTATAGCAACCACATCGACAGATTTCGTTTCCTTATAGATTTTATTCTCAAAGGGTCCATGCAAGCGTGTAGTCCGCTTATGCAGGTAACGAAATTATCGAGCTGTAATTTAATAACGGTGACTACGCACACCCAGTGCGGTGTGAACAGTTATTGAGATGAGGATTATTTATATGGATCGTGGACTGTCAAGAATCGCCACAGGTTGATGTGATTGTGTCTGGTTCAGACATAACCTAGGAAGAAAATTGAAATCTGAAAAAATTACAACATCGTTTGCTCAGTGGAATAAACTATTTCTTTATCGTACACGTTATATATCCCCGCAGAATGGGTACGACTTATGTGCCATCAAAGCGAGATACATTGATAAAAACGGGATATTTTAACACGGGAAAATATTGCCTTCAAATGAAGACAAGACGCCTTAACAGACTGAATGCATGCATATTGATCAGCCTGGTTTGGTTACTGCAAACACGACATACCTCGGCATTATCGTGTTTACGATGGTACCAACACGACTAACGAATGAGTTATATCCTGTTACCAGGCGATGTACAGGCGGAATAAACACTCAAGATATCGGCGCGAGTTTATAGTGAACTCACACAGAATAGAATTAACTCCAAAGTATACTACCCGTATTTATATTAACAGAGGGGGCTGTGGCGCTTCGGGCGCCTACCCACAGGGTTTATCAAGTCAAGCGAGGGGTGGGGGGTGAACTAAAAACTCATAAATTTGAATTTTATGTTAGAATACAATGATACAAGGAATACAGTGATATGTATAGGTGCCAGTGTTTTTGTTCAGTGTGTCCGGCTCACAAGTCATAACCACCGGCATACCACGGCAGAATTGGCGGACACCCCACTCCGGTATATACCTCTGATATTTAGACAAGGCGCACATCAATTTCCAAACAAACATGGAACATCTACCCAGTGGATTGATTTTATGACGGAGACAAATAATGCGAAAGGTTATATACACTCACAGCCGATCTGCAAATTTGTATGTTACGATACAATGGCAGTAATTCGCAAGCCGTGTTACGCCACCTAAATGTAACGTTAGACATGTAGCAAAACCGACTCGTTAAAACACATTTTGCTGTAAAAATAATATATCTAGTTTATATGAATATTTACGAAAGAACACACGAAGACAACATCTCACCTCTCACTACGTCCAATCTTATGTATCTGTGGTTAGAAGTTAACTTACGAGAATAACCACCTGTTAACACGCCGCACAAGTGAGTCCAGTGCTTCCCACAACAACACCTGACTACGCTTCGAATAAAACATAGTACGCGTGCCTGACGGTCGTCATGGCGACACAAAGCTGGGCGGAACAACCTTGATAGACGGGTCGATATGCAAGTATATTCGACACTTTGGGGCGCAAACGACCCCCGCTGATTTTGATCACACTCTGAAAGTCAAAACCATTGTAAGCAACCCCTTAGAATCAGATTGCCGGAAAATGATACTTTCGACTATATTGGGACTGAAATAGCACATTTATCCACACAAAGGCTAATAACTTTTCAACTTACCAGTATTAAAGTAATCCGCTTCACTTTGGATAAAGGACGTCACTAATATCTTGAAAAGTGGTTGCGTCACGCTCCATTTCTCCAGTGTTGATCGCTGGGGGCGTCGTAATAGAACTAAACTGGTTAAATGACGATTGGGTTATTTACGTAACAAAGAACATTGTTTATTGTGACTGTGATCGATTTCAGGGTGCAAGAAACCTTTACAATTTATGTCCCGCGTGTCTACGTGCTGTATTTCTAGGTCAAATGTCGACATATACAATAACTTGTGTAAGTGTGAAATCGCCGACAGGTTAAGCAGGCAGGTGGTGAACATTTACTTCCATGCCAAATGTTTTGAACATAAATCAGTGCAATTGGTAACAAACTAACACAGTGGGTTGTATTGTCTTAAATCAATTACCTGGCAGCGAAAAAACAATGCGAATGAGGTATACTGTGGCTAAAAGTATATATAAGAAAGAATTCGTGAAGAAAACGTACTTTCACCCCTACACGTTTGCTAAGTACCGCAATGGAGTAGGCATGGATGAATGAGCTTTATCGAGGGGTGTGCATATTATTGTGACGTGTTTATTTTGAAATCTTGCCAAATTGAGAGAGCAGTGGTACATACTACAATGAGCCAAAGATAACGCTACGATTACAGCACTATTGTTGTGACTCAAAGCCCTCTGTCTAACAAATAGACACAATACTGCAATCAGTGCTTGACTCATGGACCCGGCGTTCGACTAATTGGGGATACAAGCAATAAGCAAAGTTTGTAGCGTAAGAATGCGATGATGGCAGATTATTACATTATATCTTATCGTACTAGAATCCTGCTTATGTTTTTTGACAAGTTTGCCATAAATCGAATGACAATGCGTTATTATGTACTGACATACAGTAACAGTGAACAACATTGTGTTGTGTATTACAGTACCGTAAAATGTACATAATATTACAAGAACAGTTCCATTGCCAAAGCAGTATAGTATTTTTATCACATTTTTGAAATTATTCAGAATAAAACAGTACAATACAATGAAGAAAACGGATGAAAACAAAAAAATGTAATACTAACAAAATAGCGCCATTCTGGTGGATGGCGACCCCAAACTTTACATTGGCCGGGAGTACAGTATATATTGAAAAATGAATTCTGGGTATTTTCAACGTCGGAATTTATGGCCACTGAAGTGTAATCTATGTCATAAAGTGGTACCACGTGTTAAGTGAAACGAAACAAGATACTAGTATATTTAAGTTCGTCCAAAATGTTATACAATTCAACACAGCGGGCGCTGCGCGCTAACACACTAATATAAATTGACACGTAGTCACACAGCGTGTATATTTTGGAACGTATTTTATAATCCGCAAAATTCCACGTGATCACTTGTCTAAGAGTGACTAGTATTCTTGTGCCAATATAATGATGTTCACTTAAAGTGGTCACCAGCTTAAATTTCGACAAAAATGATGGTTATATTATAATAGAACGATTTAACAGTTGGTTACTATGATCACGTGGGACACTATGCAGTGTATCAAATTGTTGGCTAGTGACATAGTGTGACACAATTACATCCCATGACTTGTTATCATGAATAATTTAAAAATACAGTGCTGTAACACACAGAATAATGTTCATAGTACCATGGGAAAAATAGATACGTAATTGTTTTTAATAATAACACAATGGGCATTGTATTCCAGTTTATCACCAACTTTCGCCAAAATTAAGAGTGGACTTCTGCCTTTAGCCTACACTAGTGGAAGATGGACATGCTGTAATTATTCTTCTGCAACAATAGTATACTTCGTTTGCAAAATCATATGTTACCGACGAGGGCGCAATGTGTATTGCGTTCAGGCATTGTCGTAATCCGCGGCTTCTTTGTGGCAGGGAATCCAACTAGATTTTAATGGTCAATTTCAGCAGTTTGGAAATACACCAGAAAATTAAAGGAACAAAAATATGTGAACTTGTTTGCAACCTTGTGCTTTACTCAGAAAATCAAAGATTCCGCATATTACACATTTTGGTTTCAGAGGGACGTGGTAATTGGAATATTTGTTGTGCGCCCTCGTCGTTCGGGTAGGTGTGGCTATTGTGTCCTCGTTCGGGTAGGTTATGGCTATTGTGTCCTCGTTCGGGTAGGTTATGGCTATTGTGTCCTCGTTCGGGTAGGTCCACCAAAACACAACATTAACCCATTGAACAATTTTTATTAACAATATTTTGCGACTTGAAATATTTAATGGCATGCAGCAATTGTAATATGTACCAGAATATTGTAAAAGACATGCGATAAATAAAAATATTTTTTTTCGGATCTTTGGCACAACTGGATAAATTTAAATAGATACAATATAAGGCGTGAGTTGTTATAATGTTGGTGAAGACGTGTGTGGCATATGGGCATATGATTCAACGTGGCGACGGAATGGCTAAACACAAAGTATAACTCTAATATATAAGCTGCATGCATATAGATAGATTCTTAGCTCAGGGAATTTTACTGCACATTTCAGGGTTTTCTAACATCCTCGAGTATGTTTAATGATGGTGGTAGAGGTTGTTGAATTGATTTCCTTATTATGGTACATCTCTTACGGATATGTATCACAAACCGTGTTTAAAGTTGCTCAGTGAGATCATAGTTTTGTTTGGATCTTGAGATGATAATACAACATTTTTTGAATTGCAGGGAATAATTTAATATTCACCCTTGTTTCTTTAGGCTAATATTCAATTGATTATTCGCCCTTGTTTCTTTATGCGAATCAATTGGGTATTCGTCCTTGCTTCCTCTGGCGAATCAAATTGAATATTTGCCTTTGATTCTTTAGGCGAATGACGTCACACGCCGGCGCCAATAAACACCCACGTGTTTGTACATGATATTCGATCAAACAATAAAATGAAAGTCGGAGCAATGCTAGCATTTGGACACACTGCACTTCATTTAACTTGTGAATATTCGAGTTCATCACATATTTTACATAATAATCCCAAGTCCCCCAGAAATGATCTCAGAATACAACTGCAACAATTGTACTGCCATGGGATAGACTTTAGATTAACGTGTGATAATCTGTGGATATATAGAAGCATATAGATGATATATATATATATACCCTAAAATAGTGCACTTCCGCTCAGTTGGTGCCGCCTTTTTGTATTATAAAAAAATTATACGAAGCGAAATAACTCATTCATGATAAACATCTTCGTAATGTTGTTTTGTTTTGTGCCACAGTTTTCTGACAACGAACTGAAAATATTTTAACTTAGAATAATGTTGCGAATTATTTTGATCAGCGGCTAAACATGAAACTAAACTGTAAATTGCATTCTCCTACATTTGTGGAGCTAATTTATCTGGGACCATTATGTTTTTTTTGCCTAGACTTCTCCTTTATTTAAATTGTGCGTTTTTATTTATTAATTTATCGCTTACCAGCCTGTCTTTTTAAATTTCGAGGGAATGAAAAACAAAGCATTTATTTACCACTGCCTAGTGGAGTAAAGTGTGTATTATTATTGCTAAAAGTAAAACAAACACACAGTTTTCCTTAATAGTTTGGTGCATGGTAACAGGCAATAAGTAGTTGTCAATTAAACGCCGATGTAAAAACGCCGTTAAGCTTTACTTGTAGTCTTAATTTTAGTTGTACACCGCGACAGCTGTTATTAAGTTTACCGCACATTATGGAACACGAACAAGGAATTAGGGAGCTTTATTTTGATCAAACACAAATGTGATGAATCACTGGAATTGTGAAATGAGTAATGATTATAAATCAAAAAGTATGTCCACACATCTGATGTCACTAAACAAACAATACGCGACCATCTTTACATATCCCAATAACATTGTCCTTGTTCAGTCATTTAAAGCTATATTTTTGGGGATTAATTTCAAAACTATATGCAAATTTTATTCCTTTTAAATGCCCTCTATTATTATGAAAATATATAGTTGTTAGGAATAAAACGTTCTGTGGATAGACAGACAAATGAAAATAAATGAAATTAAACTAGTGTTCTCTTCAAGCCATTTTAATGTGCTGGGCTTGATATGGTTCAAATACGATGTTTCTGAAATGGCAAGTACCGATATAGTTTATTTTGTAATTATTCTTTAGAAAACGTTGGCACTGTGTGATTTTTTTAACAGTATTAAATCTTTAATTCAAATAACGCGAGAAATTACTTGAGACGTGTGAGATTGACGTGCACTTAAATTTACTGACTTAGTACAAATCACTCATTCATTGCTTGACGATTCACCTTAAATGTTCCTTAATCTAAGTTATTCATGTATAGTTTTCTTTCATTGTTCACTCTTATACATTTATAACTTATAAATGCTATTCTCACCAAAACAGTGGTGACATCATGCGTTTAGAAATCGAACGAAATTGTTATTTTTGTTTCTAGATAGTTGACGCTAGCCTAAACTTTCTGGTGAATTAAAACAAGTCAAGACTCGAATTTTAGTTTTTTTGGAGTTCGAGGTAATCTCCCGACGACAGACACGTTTCCGGTCCTCCATCCCATTCTCATAAAGTTTCCGAGTCGTACAACCCGGTATCATCACGTGACTTCTGCGTCATTGCCACTATGATTCGCAATATCTCGACTTAATAGCTCTCCCAATGTTGGTTTGCGAGCACAATTCGAAAGGTACAATACCGTGTTCGATAGTGGTGGCGACGAAAATCGTTTACTAGATGTTTCCGTCGGAAATAGTGCAGCGGCTTTTCAGTGGGATTTCGTAGAGAGTAGTCGGTAATCAACGTAATGTCATCCTAGACCAAATGCTATTCACGACCACCACAGATTTGGCCATCACATTGCCATTGATGTTAAGAAGGAAACTGCTCAAATGAAAGAAATGCGCGAACGCAGACACGCTGTAAAATAATTTGCACAGATGCATCGATTTTGTATGCAAGTTTGCGTTTGCCAGATAAAAAATGAGTTTGACAGACTATGCGCCACTCGCTGCAGGGATTCGCCTTCGTTTTATGACGCATAATCTACCAAACTCGTCGAGTGTCAGTAACTTGTTATATACAATTGTATACCAATAACTTTTTCATCACCAGACTGAATTCTAATGTTGGGGCCAACAGACAAAATTTGAGTCAGTTTTCAGTTTATACCTATGGCCATTTTTGTCCCAATCTTCTGAAGGAAAATGTACACTATAATTTGTGATGAAACGGGGGAATTGGTGGTGAAAAGAATGTTGAAGAAATAACTTGTGAAATATTAAAGAATGATAATTTACTGTATAATTTCAACTGATTTTTCATTTTCGCAGTTTTGTCGTCTAACACAGATTAATATTTTGCTTTTTAAAAAATACGTATCACTGCATAGTTCAACTTTGACAATATAGAGCCTCTCCTCCCTAAATTGTTGCATGATGTTTACAAAGCTGATTAGTTGCTATAATAACGACGTTTTGCCACTTTTTATTGTTTTTCTGCGATTTTACAAAAAAAACTAACAGCTGTCGACATCACCATGTAAATAAAACGATTCACGCATATGACGTGTCCGCCTTCTATGTAGACTTGTTTGCTTTGTATATGTATGTGTTTTCCTTGTATACAAACGTATCTGTCTTGTATATAGAATACTATAGTATTATGCATTGTATATTGAAAAGTATACAAATAAGGCTTTTATACTATGGTCATTGTCATCGGTTCTGCGAAACTATTTTTATCGAGTTCTCGAAATAATAAACAGAAATTATAGTCGTTTTTTGCTTTTGAACTTGGCGACAGAAGATTATAATACAAAGACATTTGATTACAAACTACTCTTAATAAAAATACTACGTACTAGTATATCAGCATTCCAGTGAGTCCTACTGAGCTCAAGCACAGCGCCAAATCTTCGGAAACGCGCCGTCTGTCTGAGTGACCATGACGAGGCGCGCCACTACAAACCTATGGAAGCCGTGGGTGATTTTTTTCTCGCCTTAGTGAAGAATAACCCAGGAGAGTGACGCAAGTTCAAATAGTTAGTTTGTTTTTCGAACGAGAATGGTCACCTCGCTAAAAACGCATCGTTTACATGTCACACCGTCAAAACAGAAGTCTTCGAACTCTGAACGATACTATATATGTATCCATTGTATATTGAAAAATATTAATTGTATGTTGATAAGTATGCATTATATAATGACAGGTATGCATTGTACTAGTATATTAAAAACTTTCTTTGTATACGTACATTGCATATACAATTTAGACCACATACGACAGTAATTGCGTTCCATAGTTCTCTCACTGAAGCGGTCTCAGGTCCCTCAAGTCTCGCCAAATAATTGTGAGAATAAATGAAATCAAATCTCACCAACTCCGTCCAGGTGGTCATTATTTGGCCAGTGTTAATTTAAAAATGCGTTGTATGCCTTTGCCGTTGATTGGCTACAGTATCGAACACTTTGGACACAAAACATAGTCATCGACATTAAAACACTAAAATGTGCAATCCACTTGTTACGGTGATTTATCGCTGCACGCTATTGCAAGTATGTACATTGTGACTTTATGCGCAAGTCATGCTAAGCTGTGACTACTTGAAGATGGTCACTCGATGTCACGCATTACAAGCACAGCTTGTAAGAAGTGTTGTTATAACATGTAGACAAGTCGTAAGACCAACACATGATATTATCAATTCAGCTTGTAATATCCATTTTATTTTATTTCATTTCATTTTATTACAATAATGATATGTATACTACTTTAAAATAATTAAAATAGGTATTTAGGCCTTCAAATTAATTTGACCCTATTTTGTTGATGACAAGCCCCAGTTCAAAACCGCAGCATGGCCAAATGTTTTTTTAAGTTGAGGGGGAAATATGAACATTATGATTCAACTAGACTTCCTGACATGGTGTGTGGTATTAAAATTCTAACGATCGCGATTAGTGTTATTGTCAGTGGAAATAATAAAAATTGTATTTGTATTCTCCTACTAATGTTTTACTAAATATAAGATGTTTCGAAACAACGTTATAGATATATTCAATTTTGAAACTGTAACTGTCTATCGTCCCAAACGCAACTCCAAAGCTGTCAGATTTTTTTGCAAATATTTTTGTCGGCAAACAACTAATGAAAGGGTAAGTTGTGCCACAATTTGTCACGTATTCCTGAAACAAAAATTAAAACAAAGATTACATGGCACATGTAGACATGGTATGTCGAATAATTTTATGTAAACCGACTTTAACTCCGTGTGTCACATTTGGTACCACACATATTATTTTCGATCAGTATTATCTGAAACAACACACGACAACATTCGCAAAAAAAAAAAAACAATAAAAAAATGCGTAATGAAATATCAGTTGTGCTAGTTATAATTGTAGCAACGCAGCTGACATAGACTATTAATAACATTCAAATAAGTGTGCGTCAAAGCTGGTTTTTGACGTCAGATATTATGCCAAAAACATTCGAAGCATGTCATTAATGATTCTAAAAGTTTCTAATTGGATGTTGGAGCACTCTTAGAACACTTCTGATTGGTCAATATGGTAACATAAGTAAGGACATAAGCAAGGATTATCTGAATCTGAGTGTCCAATCGGTCGCTCTCGATTTGATTAATTGCACAGATTATTGTTGATGTTATATAAATTGTCTCCCCAAGGAACTGTGAATTAATTCGTTGGCTTCAGGTGTACCAGTCGATATTCCAACTGAGGGTGACAAGTCTTAGTAAACTCCAATTTAACGTCGGAAAACAAAGTAAGTACTGCGTTATTTATCATGATGTTATACCGTGCATAACACTGTTAACGCATACCACTGTATACCACTACTCACAAGTACAATTGAGCTGACATTATATATCTAAATAATTTATAAAATAGGAGTGATAATATTTTGGATTTGATATTCCTACAGAACGCACTGTATGTTTTCGAGGTCCCGCTGTCGACGCAAGATCCATACCGACACATCAGTATTCCGTAATCTTAATGCCAAACGCATTATCATTAATAAATCCAATAAGAGAGAAATATTTTGACTATCTGGTCGGTTCGGCTCAGTCGACTACTAGTATTTCAATTCCGTTTCCACAATGACAATACAGTTATATCTCAACTCGAATCACAATTCCAACCAGCAATGGTTTTCATTTTAACAGGGCATATCATGGCGTGGATTCTAAGCATCGTCATTACATATGTTATGCTCGGGTGTATATTGTTTCATGGCATTGGGTGTGTAGCTTTCGCTGATTATATCATGTGACCGCTTCGTTTAGATATGATGTATTATGCAAATGATCGATTATCTCAACGTCTAACTAGCAAAACAGATCTACAGATGTATATATTGTCAAATGTGTGACATCATACGTGTGCCCATCATACCATCATTACCGGTAACAATACAAAATGAAAGCTCACAAAGATATCGTTTTTCTTATTCAAACTCATTATCATTCTAGCCAACAACACCATGAAGCTAGTCATTGCGGTTGTCGTAGCAATATTTTCTGTTACCGTGGTAACGGCTGCTCCCAAAGTATCCCAGGTAAGTTCTGTGATAAATAAGAAGGGTGCAAACGATGAAATAATCTTTCAACGGAATAAATAATTGTCTTCGATCATACAGTACGACAAAATGACAGTTCGGTCATGTGATCTCCTGTCAACTCCGAGGTTAGATTTCATCGCATCTGTCATGGCAATTGGCTAACTACTTGCACTTCGTTTGTCACGTCTGAGCAAATGTGCAAGCGATTCGCAATGCAGAAAGAGCTAGCAATGCTCGTTACATCACCATTACCAATACTGTGCCAGTCCTTATCAGTGTTAACAGACCATTATTCAATTATTATTCACAGGAAAAACGATCGTCAGCGTTTTCTGCGGCAAAAGGTATAAGCATTTTTTTTAAATCTAAAAAAATGGATTTGAAAGAGTACAGTTTAGATTAGATAAAATGATAATTATATCAACTGACATTAACTTTTCTTAGTGTATGTATTATCATATATGTTATGATTTATATTACAGATGAAAGTAAAAAGTCAGCTCCAGTTATTCCACGGCCTGGTAAGCTAAGTAATATTTTGGTTACACTCACTCACTGAGATCTGTACGTTACGAGATAAAGAGTACTTTGAGTACATTCACTAATATATTGTACGTTATGTGATAGATATACTATTACTTTAAATACATAGAAGTGTTAACAATTTATAAAACTCATACAATTAAATGATGGCGACCCACCTTTATTTAACACAGATCGATGTGACCTCGAAAACATCGGAGAATGTAAAGAAGTGTGCGGTGAAATGGAGATTCCTTCGGAGCCCGACGGTAACGGGGCTAAATGTGAGAAACCAAATGAATATTGCTGTGAAACCGGTAAGTAATCTGACCGTATGATACTTCGCTCTTGAAGATACATATGCATAGGTACAATGAGAAGACATAGATATGCGCATGTTATAAACAGCGGAATACTTGTCTTCACTGGGAATCATACAGGGTCATCCGTAAACATTATACAACTTTGTATATAAGTATTTCAACACATGTGTCTGATTTTACGTTTTTACGTTCATCGTGACAGCTGGCGGTGGAAGCGGTGACCCTCACATCGTGACTTTGGATGGCAGAAAATATTCGTTCCAGGGCGTGTGCACTTACATCTTGGTCAAAGATTGTTATGATAACAACTGGGAAATAACGCTGACAAACATACCCGGTACACTTCATGGCAAAGCTGTGGGCCGAGTTGGCAGCATAACTGCACGTGTGGGAGCCTATGTCGTATCACTTGGTCGTGATAAACAAATTACGGTTAGACTAATATTTATTTATTTATTTATTTATTTATTTATTTATTTATTTATTTATTTATTTATTTATTTATTTATTTATTTGTTTGTTTGTTTGTTTGTTTGTTTGTTTGTTTGTTTGTTTGTTTGTTTGTTTGTTTGTTTGTTTATTTATTTATTTATTTATTTATTTATTTATTTATTTATTTATTTATTTATTTATTCTAGGTCAACGGGCAGTCATTTTCATCGGTAGAAGAAATTGATTTCGGTACTGATAAACTCTCTTTAATAGACAGGGATGGCGTGGCAGTTTTCAGTTACCACGAGACATTTTCTATGTCCTATACTGATAAGGGATATGTTGCAGATGTTAAGATCTCACCAGGCCTGGAGGGGAAATGTTGCGGTCTTCTAGGAAACAACGACGGTGACCCGAAAAATGATTTCATGTTACCTAACGGCGAAACAACAGATGACACAGACGTGTTTGTTGACAGTTGGTTGGTCAGGTAAGATATAAAGAAAGCAGGAACGCGACTTAGTCGTTCTGAAACGTTGTCGTTCCATTGCGATGTATTGTGAACAACGCATGTAAAATACATTCGACTGTGGAGTTATAAATTGAATTTCAGCGTATATTTATCTATAACGATTTTAGGAAAATAGTAATACACCTTTTCTATAAATCGCGCCCTCTGTTGCCAAAACGCTTCGCTGGTGTAAATTGGTTGAATTAATTTAAATTAATCCTTTTTTTCCTACAGATGTGATGCGTGATTCCGCACAATCGACGACTACCGATACTACCTACTTAAATTTGTATATTGAGATATTTCTATATTACTTATAACCTTATATTATGTGACAAATGTATTTATTCGGCGTTAATTGATTAAAAGATAGTGCAGATACAGCAAATACGAATGACTAGTCTGATCATTAATTACCGTTCTGTGTACAATCAATTTTACTATTAATCGAACTATTAAAAATAATGGTGAATTTTTATCGAAAAAAAAATAAATCCATCTGAGAAATTTGCTTTGGATCAATTTTCCCATCTCAATTGCCACTCTCCACCGTGACGCAAGATGACGCTTCTTCAAATTACTGACAGCGCTAAGAACTCTGGGATGGAGAGTGCTCAATAGCCTGACCACTACCAGCATTGAACAATGCTATACGAGGTATAGTTAATTACTCAGCAGTCCCCGTGTTTGATTGTATGTTCAGACTAGACAGATTTCATCCAAGTTATGCTAATTTGACAAGCGTACCATAAACTATGTTCATATACATTGCCATTAATCTCACGGCCATCCAGACGTTGGTGGCAGCATTTCTGTGTCAAGGCAAACAATCAGTATTTGATTCAACTTTAAAAGTGTGTTCATTGCAAACATAGTTTTACAGCAACTGCAACCCTGCATTTCTACCTTAAGTGGTAACCCCCCCCCCTCCCCAAAAACAATAATGAATGTCGCACTCTGTGATTCGGAAAAGAGTTCCATTTGCCATCGAGATGATGAACTACATTTTGGGATTTATAGATATGATACCATACGTGTCATAAAGGTAATAATTACAAGATGGTAGTTCTTTTTTTTTCATTTAAAGAAGTTACATCATTTCGGCACGTCTGGAGTGTCTTTTTCAATTATGCCTTAATTAATGCACTAGCTGTGAATGTACTTCGCAATAATTAGTATATTTCTGCTTTAGAACTATAGCTCAGAGTTAATGTGTTATTCTTCAATTATTGAAATAAGGGCTTTTATTTGTATGTAATAACGAGCTATTCGCTGATATCCCTCTTCCAGAGGGAGCTATGTGGGTAAATTGGGGGCAACATTTTGTGAATACAATTGTGGTGAGCAAAATTCAGTGAGCAAAAGTTACAAGTCGGCAGGTGAGCAAAATTTCTATTTGAAATAAATGGTGGTCGATATTTTGAATTAAATTAGGTGGGTAGTAGATTCATTCAGTTAATATTTATTTTAAAAATCATCAATTTTTTTTTGTAATGTAGTTTTGAATAACATATACCACTATGTTGAATAGAAAAAGAAAGTAGCAGGTTTTTGTGTTGGTAATCGTGAAAGCCAACAGTTGAAATAGTGCAAAATAAGTTGTACATAATAACAACAACAACAACAACAACAATAATAATAATAATAATAATAATAATAATAATAATAATAATAATAATAATAATAATAATAATAATAATAATAATAATAATAATAATAATAATAGATCCTAGATCATATCTTGCTCAAGAGATGTGATACTTTACTCCCTACCGACTACTGACAAACTCTTGGTTCAAAAAGGAATTAAACCGCCAATCCTTGTATCCTGCCAGTGATTCTCAAAAACGTATCCGCCATATATGAATGCGCTTGGTAGCAGTGTGATTGCATTTTTGGATTCATCTAAGGCATTTGATAATGTAAATCACAGGCCACTATTTACTGTTATTCCGTAAGGGCATTGTTTACATGGATCGCATGTAAATTGTAGAATCCATTTCAAGTTTACCACACGTACGGTTGTTTGTTTTACTGCCCTCTACGTCATTTCACGGCGAGACAGAGTCACAGTTGTGTAGTGATAAGAGTGAATACGTAAACTGGTATATATATATATATATATATATATATATATATATATATATATATATATATATATATATATATATATATATATATATTGGCTCAAATGAAATTGAAGCAACAAGTTATATATAAGTGGATAACATCACAGAACAGTTTGTTCGACTAGTCCCTCCATCCATTGTGTTACCCACCTGTTACCTATTCTGAATATCGTACGTCATGGAAAAGACTTTGGAATCCTGTTTTAAGGTCGTTCATAGAGTTTCAGTACTCAGTCTACAACCGTTTCAGTATATACATTGTTTATATTTAAAATATGTACAATTTTTATATTATTGTATAATACTTTTTCAAAGGTTGTGTTTTTAGTAAAAATATTCCTAAATCTCTGTAAAGTAAGTGTTGAAAAATACACGATGTGGATAATCAGATGACATCACACAGCTTGTCAAACATGGAGAAAGATATTCAAATGAATGATATCGTTAATCAGTTTCACTATCATCATTGTATTTGCCAAAAAGTGTTTACAAGTGATATGAAAAGATCAGAGAGGAACCGAATATTACCTCCTTTGGCGACTAACATGTAATGCATCTATCAATACAGTTAGACAAATTGTGCTATTCAATGCTCGTTCACTAACAGATTCCTAGCTTGAACATGGAAAGCTCGGCTCAGACTCGGGTTAATGTAATTAAGTTTCTGAAGCGTTGTATACTCCAAATCGTTCGTACACTCTGACGTGTGTTTAAGTAGATAGTCGAATCTTATCTGTGAGATATTTACTTAGCTATCTGAGTTGTATCCGCTGTCCTGTTTGCATTTGTGTTCTCTCATTGGGAATTACAAATACACATGTGTAAGGTTATCATTCTGTGATCTGTGAGTATATTCATAGCTGGGCTTTACGCCTATGACCTTTCACTGATGGTCGGATGCAGAGAGGGTGACTGGTGTGTGCAGGGTCAAAAGACAGACACATCAAACCTTGATATTTGCACCAAAACATATAATTATAATTCACCGAGTGGTGTTAGTTATAGTACATATACAAGTCAAATTTAATAGGTGTTTGGATGAGTTTATGACGTTACAATTACGTCATGGATGCGAGCATCGTCTTTTTGTAACTTGAATGGTTTGTGAAATCACACTACCAAAAGATATTTCAATTGATATACTTATGGGTTTTTACCTGTTCGTTCAAAATCAGGAAGATTAACTACGTTTTCGTTTGCTCACTCCTCAGTAAAAAAAAAGGAGTGCATACGGCCACTTGCCAGATCCGCGTTTTTCGGGTTTGTAATCCATTCGGAGCGGGACGTAGAATTGTTTGTGTCATTCCTCAGTGAACGTACAAAATCATCAAATTCTGTGAAATTGTTCTTAACCCCAAAAACTTATCAGCTCTTGTGAACTGAATGAAGAATATATGTGTAATGTTTGAACACGATACATTGGACTTGTCCTGAAAATCTACCTCAGTGTGTAATGCCCACATATACACTAAATACTCATACCATGAGTATGTGTGTGCTGCTTTTGCGCTGGCGCAGAGAAACTCGGAACAAAACTACACTTACACACATTGATTCTAGCCCATGTTCCAAATCACTGCAATCATCCAAAATACACAGTTGAAGAAAATGATTTCACTTAATATACTTGTTGTGATTCACACGAATTCTGGGATTGATTATAAAGTACATGGTGGTCATGAATCGGTTCTGCAATTATTTGGTTATTTTCTAGCGCATCTCAGGTCACAAATAAAGGTGTGTTCTGCAGCTGTCATCTCTGGCACGGTCTTTTTTAGTAACCATGTCTCTTAGTAAAAACAAACAACTGACATATTTGTATATCGTTTTACCTATTTTGGTCTGATTATGTATAATTACAGTACGTCAGTGCTGACGTCACATTGATGTCAAGACCGGGAGTCTTATTGGAAACACTGATTGGTCAATACAGTAAAGGGGAGGGTGCAATGATGGGTTGGTCCAATATGAGAGTCAAATCGGTTTAACAGTCTGGTTTGATTAATTGCACAGTTTATTATAGATGTCTTATAAATTGTTTCTCTGAAGAACTACGACTAGACTCATCGATTTTAGGTGTACCAGTCGAGGAAGTGTCTTATCTTAGTAAATTCGAATATAACGTCAGGAAAATCGTAAGTACAACGATATTTTATCGTATTATAATTTATATGCCATGTACATGATATGACCATCTATACAGGCGGTGTGTGCAGCATTGTACGTGACAACCTGTTAAATAATTTGGTATTGAACTGACATGACATTGCATTGATGAAATATGTTATACAG